ATCTAGCACAAAAAAAAACATCTTTATAATTGTCAGGAACCTGTTTTAGAAAGGATGACTGCTATTTGACAGTTAAATAAAAGGAATGGGTGAGGTCATTCCTACCCATAATTCAAAACCCAAGTCAAATGCCATCTACCTCTCAATGCCTTTCCTAAACCTTGTAAATTGATGTGAGCACTTTCCTTTCCAAACTCTAGCCTTTAAATATCTCCAGGTACTCATATATATTCTTTAAGTTACAGCTAATGGTGCCGTCGTCAGGGTAGGTTTCATGTCTGTTTTGTTTTCACTACATCAGTGGCGCCCAGCCCAGGCTTTGTTTTTTGTTGGCACTCAGTAAATGTTTTATGGAATGAAATATCCATCATGGCATTTTAGGAGAATACTTTGCAGCTGGCTTTAATAAACAATCCTTGAACTAAGAGTTTCGAAGATTTAGTCCCAGTCACTTGCTTATAGCTTTGTAGCTGTATGCAGGTCATTTAACTCCTCTGAGCCTTATCAGTCAGATTGGAATACGAGTAACAGGAAATGAAGAGCTGGTGAAAAACTTTGTAAAAGGAACACAACATTAAGGTGGCACTATCCCTAAAGCCCCTTGCTGCATCCCACATAGTGCCTTACATGTATTAAGCAAACAACTACTTCAGTTTTTCTAATTTAATTGAATCATAATGGTATATATTTTATTGAAATCAAAGTTTGGCCCTAGTAGTTGACACAGCTTTGTTGGAGCTGGGAAATTTTACCGAGGGAAAATAAAATTATTGCCCTCATGCAGGCTGATTCTCCTATCCTAGAACAGTTTCGTTATGAACCAAGGATCAATGAAAGAGGAAGCAGCCTGATGCCCAGGGATTTTCTTAGTACTTCTTCCTGTGCAAGCACATGCTGGACCTGGGAGGCAGAATAGGAACTTGCCACCCTCCATTTTCCATCTTACAGGAACAACCCAAAGGAAAAAAGGGACTTCTGTCAGAGGAATAGAGGTAGGTGTGACAGGACTATCCTGAAGCCAGGATTACCCTGGGGGTGGGATGCTTTGTATTCTGCCCACCCAGCTATACTGTCTTGGGCATCAGTGAGTTAAGTTTTTCCTTGTGTGGTATGAGGAAACTAGTAAACCAAACCCAGAAATAAAGAAATTACCACGGAAGGCTTTCCTTAAAATACATTTAAAAGAGTGAAGCCATAACTAGAAGAATGTTTCCAAGGCAGAGCTGGCTCTAGCTTGGACCTCCTGGGTTTAGGGGATGAGAGTGGCCATTTGATTTGAGTTTGAGCATGTTTATTGTAAATAAAACCATTTCCCTGGAGCCTGGCAAGTTTTGCAGAAGGCATACCAAAATGTAATTGAATTGTGACTGCCTCTTAAATTGTGAAATTAATTTTACACTTAACAAATGCTTTAAAAAATAGAGGAACAAGTGGCTTTAAAGTTCAGAGTGTTAATATTTGAAATCTGTCCAATTTAATTAACTGCCTCCCAGAGACTGTTTCCTTTTTCTCTGGTCAGTGTCACTGATCTAACACCCAATTTTCTTCTTTGTTGTGAGAAAGGAATTAAATGCATCATTTATTTAGTTGTATTGACCTGAATCATATCTCCCCAGCATACATTCTTATTTCAGGAAATCGGATGCATCCATGTGGAATTTACTCAGTAACTCTTCCTAGTGACATTTGTGTGATCTAATTCAAGGAACTGAAATGAAGGCTGCACATGATTTACTTGCATATGATGCAGCTGTTTTTAGTACTGTATTTACATTTTTAAAAGCAAGAATGCACCTTCTTGATGGAACAGACATGCATTTTTAGATTCACAGACTCAAGAACCGTAGAACAAAGAAGTTTCTTAGAAATTGAATCCAGACATCTCTTTTTGTTTTGAAGAGGTAGAAACTTGAGTCCCAAAAGATTTAGTGGCCCTGAACTAAGCTCACAGGGTCAGCCAGTGATAGAACAAAACAAGAAACTAGATGGGTTCCCGATTCAAGCCTCTTGTTTGTCCCAGATAAATGTAGGTGTGGTTTACATTGACAATTTGTTATGACATCTGCAGCTTATTAAGACAGTGATAGACAACCTAGCCACTTAGCTACTTAAATCATCTAATTTCTGCATGAGCATATTACAGTATACTATAGTCCCTTTAGCTACCTACCCTTATTTTTCTTTTCCTGCTTATATACTTATTTTTAATCTTGTGTTTTTTTAAGCCACCCTAAATCAATTTTTTGAATGATAATATCTAAATAAATACTCGAAGTGATGCTTTGTGTTCATGCTAATTACTCATGTTTCCATAGTGTCTACGGTATGTCAGAGATCCTGGCAATGTTAATTATCCTAACAGTATTTCATCTTTTCCATCTATCAGAAGTAGCAATAAAAACAAATTTCAAGTGGAGTGCCTAAAAAATATATCATTCTTTCATTGCTTCACAAGGTAAAGACACTGTAATCCCCATAATAAAATCCTTGAAATTGTTTTTATCAAGCCTAGAAAATAACTTAGGAGTGTATTTAGTATCTTAAAATGAAAGACTGGCTGATGGGATTGAAATATTACCTAGGTATTTAAAAGGGCATTGTGATTTATGGTAAACTGATTTTCAACAAGGCTGCCAAGGGCATTCAGTGGGAAAAGAAAAGCCTTTTCAACAAATGATACCAGGACAACTGGCTAGCCACATGCAGAGGAATGAATCTGGAGCCCTACCTCATACCATATTATACAAATTAACTCAATATGGATCAAAGATCTAAATGTAAAAGCTAAAATTATAAAATTTCTAAAAGGAAATGCAGGTGAAAATCCATGTAATCTTGGGTTAGGCAATGGTTTCTTAGATATGATATGAAAAGCACAAGAACAAAAAAAGATAAATTGGACTTCATCAAACTAAAAACTTTGTCAAAGGGCACTATCAAAGAAATGAAAAGATAATCTATAGAATGGGAGAAAATATTACAAATTATATATATATGTATGTATATATGAAAAGTGGGCAAAGGACTTGACTAGAGATTTCTCCAAAGAAGATATACAAATGACCAATAAGCACTATAAAGATGCTCAACATCAAAACTGTGATGAGGTATCACTTCATACCCACTAGGATCCTAGCATATAATTTTAAAATGGACAACAATTATTGGTGAAGATGTGGAGAAATTGGAACTCTTGTACGTTGCTAGTGGAAATATAAAATGGTACAGCTTCTGTGGAAACGTCTGGAACTTTTGTGGCAATTCCTCAAAAAGTTAAACATAATTGTCATCTGACCCAGGAATTCTGCTCCCAAGCACATATCTAAGAGATTAAAAACATATGTTCACACAGATATGTATACACAAATTGTAGCTTTATTCAAAATAACCAAAAAGTGGAAACAACCCAAATGTCCATTAACTGAGAAATGAATAAACAAAATGTAGTATATTCATAAAATGAAATATTATTCAGACATAAAAAGCAATGAAGTACTGTTACATGCTACAACATGGATAAAGGTTGGAAATTTTATGCTACATGAAAAAAGCCAGAGACAAAGGCCATGTATTTTATGACTCCAGACGTCCAAAGTAGGCAAATCCATAGAGTCAGAAAGTAGATTAGTGGTTGTCAGGGGATAGAGGGGAGATGTGAATTGGGACTAACTGCTAATAGGTACAGGCTTTCTTTCTGAGGTGATAAAAATGTTCTGTGATTAGATATTGGTGATGGTTATACAACATTGTGAATATACTGAAAACCACAGAAGTGTATACTTTAGAATGGTGAATTTATGTTATATGAATATCTTAATGTAAAATACTGCAAGTTTTTTAAAGCATGTATACCCGACAGTAAGATAAAGGTGTTATAAAAGGTTAGAGACGGTTATGAAGGATTTCTAATCATAAGGGAGTGAAATAATTTGGTACCCCCGAAATCCCCTATGACTGATAGAGAACTTTGTCTACTCTGGCTTTCAGAGGATTAAGAGAAAGGCTCTGTGGTGTGGTTTTTACAGCTTGACAGGAAGGATCAGTCATTAGATGACCCTCTGCTCAGAGTCAGGGAATGTCGTTAGAGATGTTATGCAAGTTGAGATGATAAAAATAAATTACCTCCACTGAGTAAATCACCTGTAGTTCAGAAATAGCAAAAAAGTTGGCAAACTAATAGAGCATAGGGGTAGGACTGATGGGATGTGATTTTTCTTTTTTAATGTAGAGTCCAACGGCAGCTCTCCCTAGATTTTGTGCTAAAATAAGAGCATTTTCACACATTTTAATTGCTCTGTGATAACAACAGTGTGAACTCCATCCACAAACATTTATCTACTTAATTTTGCTCTAATTTCAGTGTAGCAAGCATTTACCTTGTAAGTGGGAATAACTGTCCATTTAGTAAAAAGAAGTCCCTTCTCACATTGCTAATCCTGTTGTGCATTTCTGTAATAAAGAGTAATAACAAATGGCCTTTTATATTTTTCCATTTTTAGCTTGCATTTATAGAATACCATGTGCAAAGTAGGATCTTTATGAACTGGAACCCTAATTGCTCCTTAAACATTAGTAAAAAAATATTTAAAAATTGTAGAAGTTAAGGTTTCACAATATTTCTGATCAGGATTTTAAATGAGGCTTTTTTGCCTTTATAAAAATTGATAGTACTTGGTGCTATAATGTTCATGATAAACCATATAGAACTGTCTTTGAGGTACATTTTTTTTTTTTTTTTTTCCGGTACGCGGGCCTCTCACTGTTGTGGCCTCTCCCTTTGCGGAGCACAGGCTCTGGACATGCAGGCTCAGCGGCCATGGCTCACGGGCCCAGCTGCTCTGTGGCATGTGGGATCTTCCCGGACCGGGGCACGAACCCGTGTCCCCTGCATCGGCAGGCGGACTCTCAACCACTGCTCCACCAGGGAAGCCCTGAGGTACATTTTTAAAGTGAGATTTATATAACTTAATAGCTATCTAAATTTTTCAATTATTTTCCAGACCTGTCATTTACTCCATCATTTATAGTGATGCTACAGGACAGAGAGGAATGGATAAAAACATTGGCGAGCAACTCAATAAAGCTTATGAAGCCTTTCGACAGGCATGCATGGATAGAGATTCAGCAGTAAAAGAACTACAGCAAAAGGTATGTGGTTTTGGTTTTGAAAGTTATTTACCCTGGTAAATGGAATTTGAGTCTTGTGCAATGGAAAATATTATATTGTTAGAAAGTGCCTTGAAGAACTAAAACACAGTGATATATTAATGGATGAAATTTGAGATTTTTATTTGTTATCTTTTTTAAAAACATTGTGACCTGTGGGAAGAATTCATTTTAAGGTGATTGTATTGAGGAAAGATAAGAATGTTATCTTCCATAAATAATTTTTAAATAAAATGACAAACTGAAAGTCAGAAGTATTATTATCTCAGCTAGTTTTATTTTTTTGTGTTTTTTTTTGTTTTTTTTTTCGATACGCGGGCCTCTCACTGTTGTGGCCTCTCCCGTTGTGGAGCACAGGCTCCGGACGCGCAGGCTTAGCAGCCATGGCACACGGGCCCAGCCGCTCCATGGCATGTGGGATCTTCCCGGACCAGGGCACGAACTCGTGTCCCCTGCATTGGCAGGCCGACTCTCAACCACTGCGCCACCAGGGAAGCCCTTTTTGTGTTTTTTTTTTTTGCATGGTTATTTGGCTGGTGCGAGGACTGTACAAATCTTAAAATATCCTGGAACTAAATTTGTTATTAATTTATAATAGTCTTCCATTCTTTAAATGTAACAGTTAAAAATCAACTATTTCACTGAAATCTTTAGTGACTTATCAGAATGTTCAGCTTTTTAAAATTACTCCTGTACACATAAAACTTCTGTTTAGTGCTTTCAGTTTCAAGAGAAAGTAAATTGGAAGAAAGGTATACCCAGGCAAAAATTACTTGGTCTGGTAGTTACCAGGCACATGTCTGTTATTTGTCCATTATAAGGTTTTCACTGGTCTACAGCAAAATGAGAATAATGTAATGAACTTCTTACAATGCTAAATTTATTCCGTTTAGAATTCTGTCCTTTATTCTGATATTGTTTCCATGTTTCTGTACTGTCAGAATAAAGAGCAAAATTTTATTAACATATATATTCATTGAATGATGATCATAGAGTTTTTTGTTTGCTTGTTTAATATCATTACTTAGTGTTTTGGGGGTCCCCAATGCCACCCACACATTCTGCGATTCTCTAGAAGGACTCACAGGACTTAGTATACTGTCATACTCAGAGCTAAGGTATATTACAGAGACATTGTAAAGATACACAGCCAGATCACTAATGGAAAAAGACATCAGGTGGAGTCTAGAGGAATCTGTGTGCAGGCTTCCTACGCTCTTTCCCTCCTGTGAGAGGTCACACAGAGTGCACCCTCTCCAGCTTCAAAAATTCACTCAGCACACTTGCAGTGTTTTGGCATGGGGAACTCCATTTGAGACTCAAGAGCTTGGGTTTTTTTTAAGGGCTGGTTACATAGGCACCCTCTGTCAACCAAAATTTCAGATTCTCAGAAGGAAAGTAGTTATTCACCATAAATCTCATGGTACAGTCTAAGTAGGCTGGCACAGCATTTAGAATCTTACCACTTAAACGTTTTCAAAAAGCAAGTTCCCAGATGCTGTCAAGGGCCAGCCTTGCAAATAGGCCTTTCTGAAGATAAACAGCCTAAGGCCTGCTATGTTAAATTATTCCTGCACGGGCAGTTGAAAGTGGAGGATCTTATGTTGGTTCCCTCAATTAAAAAAAAAAATTTACTAGCCTGTGGAATTCTGAAGTCTAAGAAATATGCTAGCCATGCGGTTCTTAGTTTCTTCCATAAATATAGGAACTACACAATTCCCTTCCTCCTTTCCGTTTGATACATCTACTATAAAACTAGCTGTTATACATACTTCACTGCATTCCTCAGAAATTATCATTATTCTTTGTGATTCTCCTTTTGATTTACTAAAGAATACTCACAGTTATATAGGTAAACTTAATGGGCTAGATGTCTTCATTAGGGGTGCACAAGAGAAACAGAGATGGGATAATGACAGGCACTTTCTCAATTTTTTTTTTTTTTTTTTTTTTGCGGTACGCGGGCCTCTCACTGTTGTGGCCTCTCCCGTTGCGGAGCACAGGCTCCGGATGCGCAGGCTCAGCAGCCATGGCTCACAGACCCAGCCGCTCCGCGGCATGTGGGATCTTCCCAGACCGGGGCAAGAACCCGTGTCACCTTCATCAGCAGGCAGACTCTCAACCACTGCGCCACCAGGGAAGCCCTTTCTCAATTATTGAAATGAAGTTTGGATTTCTTTTCCTTTCCAGTTCATGTATAAGGCATAATCACTTTTTAAAAAACAAAACAAAAACTCCCAGCTTTTATTCTTCTTATTTTCCCATTAGGTTCATTAAGAAACTTCAGCAATACTGTACTTGCTCTAGGAAAGTTAGGAAATACAGAATTAGGGAAAAGGAATATTGAGATATTCTTGGGTTAAGGCAGACACAGGAATTTCTCTGTCTCCTCTTCTTTCTGCACTGGCCAGTGGTAAGCAATTGAAAACTTTTGTAATTTAATCTCTTATCTGCCATGGAAGAAACCTTCACTCACAGCAGCAATTATCTTAAAGAGGGGAAAGGGAAATATTTTTTTACATTTCTCAAGAACAGGGGAAGAAAAAATATATACTATATATTCTTATATGTTAAACTCTAAATATTTTGATTTATTTAAGAAACATTATTGAGTGTCTGCTGTGTACTGGGTCCTTAATGAGGTTCTAAGAATACTGAAATAAAATATAGTTTATGTCCTTAAGGAACTTTCAATAAGTAAAAAAGGAAGATCAAGTTATTACCATAGCATACTAAGTGCTACAGTAGAGATCTGTACAGGATAATATGTGAGCACAGAGAAGAGGCATCTATCTCAGTCTGGAAGGATCAGGTCATAAGCCCACTACTAAGCCCAACCCTTTAGCTAAGATTAGGAGGAAATTAAATTAGGGAAGATGGATCCTGCAAGCAGAGAGAGAATATTATATAATAAAATCTTGGAAGTGAGGAATGTATGGTATGTTTTATGTACCATAAGGTGATCCTATGGCTCCAAAAGGAACTATAGGGCAGTATAGGAAAAGAAGCTGTGAAGGTAGATTAGAGCCCTATCTCTATGATCATGATTATGTAGTTTGTACGTATTCTTATTCATTCAAAATTTATTGAAGGATTTAATATATGCTTTAGAAGGGTCTTCCTGACAGTGGGATAGGGGATAAATAGGATAGAGAATTCACTCAACAAACATACATTGATGCTAAGCAATGGTCTAAGATCCAGGAATATAAAAATAAGTGGCAAATCAAGTTGCATTTTAATATATATATATTTCTATTAATATACATATATTAAATACATATGTACATATGCTTCAATTTACAAAAGAAAGAATGAATGCAATCATTTCAAGCGATCAAAATGAGGACTTAAATTAAGCATTGGGAATAAATTTGGGAATAAATCTAAGATTTATTTAGGAGATAGAATGAAAAGCAGGTGGCATATGAATGTAGGCCACTTCTGAGGGTGATGGCATAGATTCTAAGATGATACCCACGTATCTGGAAGAGAAGACTGGATTAATAGTGGTGCTGATGAACTGAAACCAAGAATGGAGAAGAAGGTTCAGATTTAAGGGGTTGGGAAATAAGATGTATAATTAGATTTTAGTTATTAGGTTTGGTTACCTATGGGACATGCAGGTGAAAATGTCCAATGGATGGTTGCAAATATGGACCTAAAAGCCTAGGTAGAGTTCTGAATTGGAGATTCTAGATATAGGTTGTAGAACAACAGATTTCATCATAGCCTTGAATGTTTATAACATTTCTGAGTTATATGTATGGGGTGAAGGAATATATGAAGGACAGGAGGGTAAGAGGGAGAAAATAAGGAAAACCAGTTGGTTGCTGGAGATTCAGAAATAGGTTAAGGAATTTACTATGAACAGAGGAGAAACACCCATTCCTCTAAGAATTGGAGGGAACAAGAGAGAGAAATAGCTGCAAGTGAAAATAAGTTTGCAGATAAGAGGTGGAGGTGGCAGGAAGTTAAAAGGGTTATCATGAATCACTTATATCTGGAATCCAAAAAAAGTCAAACCTGTAAAAAACAGAGAGTAAAATGGTGGTTACTAAGGAATTGGAGGGGGGCAGATAAGACTGACGGTGTTTAAATTTGTAACAAGTAGTAAAGCTAGAGATCCAATGTACAGTATGACAAATATAGATAATAATATTGTACTATAATTATTTAATGTGATAAATATGACTACAACAATCCTATTACAATATATAAATGTATCAAAGTAACACACTGTACACCTTAAACTTACAAAATGTTACATGTCAAATTCATTCAATTTAAAAAAATCAAATAAACAAAAAATAGTAGGGTTATCATATGAGAGTCCATTTTTTTCCTGTGAAATACAAGATAAGGTCATCTACTGAGTGAAATGATTTTAGAATATTCTGAAAGTGGTAATAAAGACTTGAAAGCTTCAGTTAAGAAAAGAAAGAAGAAAAATTTTGCATCCAGCCTTCACCATGAATTTTTGGTGGTGTGAATCCATGTTTGCTGGTTATTTTTTCATCAAGTTTCTTGATATAGAAGTAGAACAAGTGGGTGGCCAAATCCAGGATTAAGAGATTGTAGAGTTAAGAGTAGAAGAATTTCTGGTTAGGTGGCCAGAAAGTGCATACTAAAGCAATTGAAATTATGTGCTTTGCGATATAAGCTAAAATCAGAAAGAAGCTAATCTAGGAGGAATCTAACAGACTAAGAACAAAAAGAGGGTTTATGGCTGAAGTGTTCATGAAGTGAGAGAACAGATATAGAGGGAGTAGAAGAATGTGAGAGTTCAAAGGATAGGTTATTGTCAATGAGTAAATATTGATGTTTAGGATCTTCTGTCTTCATAATGAGTCATAAAAGTGGCTAGCTGGAATGAGATTGAGGAATTCAAGAAACTCTAAGACTAGAGCAATTCTCCTAGAATGGTGGTAGTTTTAGGAGCATTTAGAGAGACTGTTGTGAACGGAAGAGCAAAAATTCTT